ATAACTATTCCTTTACAAAATTTTCTTCTAAGATATTTTGTTTATTATTGTTATTTAATGGCTAAAGCCACTCAAAATGCTGACTAATATAATTTCTTCTCTTATCCATATTAGAATCCACATTATCTTCCATAAATCATTGTCTAAAATAATCATGTTCTAACATTGCATTATTACGATATTCCATAGAGATCCACTGAATATTGACCAGTCGTATATTAAATTGAGCTATTTTTGTGATGTTTAAAAGATAGAAAAATACCTATAAACAAGCTTCTATTTTTGTTGTAATAAACAAGTGTAACTGTAGAATCTATTAGTAAGTAAAAAAACCATATAGTTTACATTACTTTTTGTAATTCGGAAAACATTCTAAATCTCTTTAATTTTTGTATAGTCCAAATGTTGCAAAAGAAAATTTGCACACAAGAATAAATTGTCTGATTCATTCTCAAAATTTTCATTTTCAGATGGATTAGTTACAGGTGAACCTTTAATTTCTTTGACATTAGAATGATATGCTGTATAAAAAATACTCTCTTTCATTTGATTAATTAAAAACCATATAACATTTGGCTATAAGTAATGATTAATAAATACCTTAATTTGTGGAAAAATTGTTACTGTGTTTGTTAAAGAAATATTTTTTATTTGAGCTTCATATTTGATTTGTTTCTGTTTATCTTCAAAATTATCTATAAGAATATTACCAAGCTCATAGAATGATATGTTGCTACTTTCAATAGCACATTTGATACAAGCATTTTGACTTTCAACGAATGATGTCGACTTAATACCAAGGGTAAACACCATAGTTGTAAAACCACGTGCCCACGATCTATATCATTCATATAGATGATTTTAAAGATACTGACTCACAGTTGGGTAAGTAGCAATTAATTCATTCTAGTAATGATAAAAAATATCTGGAGTGTTGCCATTGTAACATCTCCAAAATGCAGAATAAAAATCATTAAATGATGCATCTAATTTTCCGCAAAGTACTTTTTTAATATTCTCCTTTAAATGCCAGATGCAAAGGATATGGTGAGCTTTAGGATATTCACACATAATTTCATAGCAAGATCATCATCAGTGACAATTACATCGGGGGGTTCGTCCTTGTGTAGCTTTTTTTGTTATCTGCAAGACCCATTGGTATGACTCTGTCATTTTATCACTTATAAGAGCCTGAGCAACTATTCTTAATTTTATATTATCATCTAGAACTACAAAAAGGGATAGGGGTATATGATAACGATTTGTTCTTGCTATGTTGTCATGACCGATTGAATCACCAAATTTATGCCACAATATTACTTGTTCCGGACTCATCCAAAAAATACCGGTTAGAGTGCTTGTTTCCATTTCCCAAGTTATCTCTACGAACCAACATAGGTCATTACGCTGTTTAGCCAATAATTCTTTGTAGAATCTCACTGCATCACCTTCATTGAATCATGTCGATGGCCTATGTTTTTGAATTTCCGCGTAAAGGTCCTTGGAATAAACTGGATGAAAAGTATACTTTTTCTTGAGAATTTGTCTAATTATCATCATACCAAAATGACACTGTTTTATATAAAACTCTATATCTCCCTGTATCTCTTTAGTAAACACTTTTAGCTTCTCAAACTGTAATGTCTCAGGGCACATGTCATGGTTATGTTTATTTTGAAATGTTGTTATATAAACAAGAGAATTTGGATTTTGCTTAAGAGGTCTTGATAGGCTGATATGCTACTAACAGCTTTTCTTTATTGTTTTTCCAGGCTTTTCTGAGTTTGATGGTTGGTAGTTGCCAAAATGGTAACAATAGATTGTCCTTTTTCATATTACTTTTTCATTTTGCCAACCTTTATTAAAGTACTTCAACCCATAATTATTTTAAAACCTTTATATTTAGTGTAGTTTCATATATATTTTTCAGCTTGATCAAAATCATCAAATGTTTGAGCTTTCACAATTATAACAGCTTCAATATTTTCGTTTAAGGTCTCAACATCCACACTACTATGATATGCTGCTTCAAAAAAGCTTTTCAGGTCAATTTCATTATTGTCAACCATGATATCGTCAAGTAAGCTTGTTTCACTATCTGGATCGTTTATAGTTATTTTCATATTTTCATGTATATGAGTGTTAGTAACAAATTTTTTTTTTTTTTTTTTTTTGGTATTAAAGTGACCCCTTCGGTTAAGTACTTTTTATTATTGTATGATCTATATCCATCATACATATATTTCTATATACATAATCTCACTACAATACTATTTTAAGTAACTACCTTAGAACAATTTTATTCTCAGG